GACTTGCCACGGTCTCCAACCCTCCTCCTTTCTCATCCGGGCTTGGGACCGGCCATGGCGGAGTTTAAACTTATTAAACTAGTTAAAAAACTTATTAAACCATAAAAAATGCCGATGTAGTAACTATTTGTGACAAGAAACATATGATGCTGCGTAATCACCAATACTTCGCTTAAAGTCGGCAGGTACTGATATTTCAGTGAAGTCAGATAATTTGTGATGGTCATGCTGTTCAACCTCTATTTAGTCGATAATGCTGGCTATGGGATAGATTGAATTATCGTAGTTGTTTTTTCAGTACTTCAATTTTTAATTGCGATTTACGTTGAGGTTCGATAACTTCGGCGTCAGTTAGCCCATTAGAACGATCGTACATTCCGAAGATATTGGCGCATTATCCTGAACATCGCGAGTACCAGCCCTTTGCGGAAGAAGTTTTATCAGTAAGGTTATTTTAAATTGTTCGCACGTTACGCCACTTATCGTTTAGTTGTGCATGCCCCGAGGACTTCACTTTTGTACACAGAAGGTTGTTGTCACTGAACCATCATTTTATCCGTTCGTGTGTATCCGATCCGATGGTGCCAGACTGGAAGGCAGCGCGCTCTCTTTTTATGAGAAAGTGTCTGATGCTGGCATTCTTCAGTCAATGCAGGCGCTTCACAACGCCCATCTCAGGGATTTAACCAGCACTGGAGCGCACAGCGGATCTGGTCCCATTTCCGAAGAAAATGTCCCAAGACACAGACAGGTACATATTCATATTTATATAAACAGCTTCATTTAAATTTCAATGTTATTAGATGACTTAATTCCATCGAAGCACTTTACAAGAATTTTTATTCAGCTTTCAGTTCAATTTCAATAATCGTCTCCTTTCGGGTCGCGGAGGCAGACGCGTCAGATAATGCTTCCAGTGTTTCTGATCCTCTGCCAGCATATGAACTTCGACAGAAGACAACCGTAGTCTGTAGCAGACTCCTTCAGTACATTTACCCGGGTTGATCCTGGCCATCCACTGTGTGTTCTACCGTTCGGCTGAGGAAGTAAATTGGCATTTGCTTCACCTTCCTTTCTGGAAACATTTGTAACACGTCCCCAAACCATCGCAGCTGTGGCTTCTCAGTCTGAAAAAACCAGCGGCTATACACAAGGCTCTCTCGGATTTCTGTACCTTGGATCATATCGAGACGCGTAAGGCTAGCGATTCGTTTCAGAAAGCCCCATATCGGCCGCTTTTCTCCAGAATCAAAGTTTTTCAATCATGGTCACAACTCATGATCATAGATATGCATAGGAATGATGATCGACTTGAACACAGTGGCTACGTCTTCAGACTCTGGCATGCCCAGAGGTTGTTGCACAGGATTCGATCGTAGGCTTTCTCTAGTCTAACAAGATACATATACACCGGATGGGCGTACTTCCACGATTTCTAAACAATCTGAACAATCTGGCGTAGAGCGAATAATATATGGTCAGATGTGTTTCGGCCAGATGGAAGCCACTGCCTTTCTTGTATCTCGAAGCCAGTTATTCCGCGACAGCTCCGTTCTTGCACCGAAAGGCAATAAGTTAATGGCCCGATAATTCGAGGAATTTCTATTATTATATGTCTCCATTCTCTGATATGGCTGCTCCGTTCTCCAGTCCTCTGGTGTTTTCTCGATAGCCATTGCAGTTTGACAGACACGTGTAAAACAACTTATGCCGTGTTCGCCCCATGCTTTAAAGATTTAGGGCGAATTTCATCGATTCCAGCAGCCTTTCAAATCCTTCAGGCGAGTTCGCGGCCTGTTCCTGCGGTTGCGTATAGGTTAGATAGTTCCCTCAAAGTACATGACCGAAGAATATCATCATCCTTAGGTGGGTGCTCAGACATCCTTCAGGACTTTTACACTGCCCTTCTTTTCACTTCGGAGGCGGCAGATGGTCTGCCAGATTACCTTGTCTGGAAATTCGACTCCAACACATCCCCGAACTTCTCCAAGTGAATGAGTTTTGATTTTCGCCACTGCTTGCTCTAAAGCTTTGCGTGCTTCTTTGTGAACTTCCTTATTCTAAAACGAATTCATGGATTTCTCGCAGATTCATAAGCAGCAAGGCGACCCTTCTCACTGCAGTAGTACCCTCCTTCGTGAGTTGCTGCGGAGTCGTATTCATTTGGGTGATTACTCAAATCTGTGTTTTTTTTTCAGGCAGCTGTAATGATTATTCCAGTTATTTCATGGTTTCTTCTATGTTACTAAAAGTTTTTAATAGCGTAGACTCGACGTATTACTTGGAATACGACTATTCATTTCTAAAGAAACAATGCCAAATGGTGTTTCCAGCAGTGCATTTATCAAGAAGCTATAAATATAATTCAGCTGATATTATCTGCCACCCAGCCTTTATAATTGTTGTAACTCTAGTCTAACGTTTATGGGAATATGAAGAACGAAACTCCTTCAGTTAGCGTTATCTCATCTAGCTGTGAGATGTTGTTAGACGGGTTTATAGATGTTGTTGACTGCTGCTATGAAGGTCACATTTCTCTTCGCAAGTAGGTTCTCGTATGTTTGTCAGATAAGTGGGTATTTACTTATCAGTGATTGGTTATATAAATTTGAAGCCGGCGTTTCTGCGTTTCTTGTTGCCTTTCATTTTCTCAGAGCAGATCAGATATGAACACAACTCTGTCTGATCAACACATTTCGGGTTACCGGGAGCCGGATTGACTCTTAGGCTAAGAGAGACACAAGAAATTGGAATTTGAGCTCCAGTTCATCGCGAGGTACCTTCTTTATTTCATCTGTTACTGCTTCATGCATTCGTTGTTTGCATTCATGATCACAAGCAGATGGAAACAATTTGTTCCTCAGGGAGAGGTTGCATCGTATTGAAACTGATGCTTAATGCCACTGTTTCGCCAATACCCGCTTGCTTTTGTTCCATGCGATGTAGATAAGTACCTGTTCGTCGAATAGAAGCAAGAGACTGTGGGATAGTCTGGCGACTAGGCTGTAGATAATTGCCTTAAAATTAAGAAAGAAACAGTAGCGCTCTATGCTTATGGCACAGGAGCGAGAATAGTGCCGCTCTATGGGCTTCATGAAAAGCACTGTCACAGTT